ATCTAAAATCCCAAAACACAAACCATCCCAAAACAGCCCACACATAATAATGAAAATAATAACAATAAATACACCAAACACAAAATTACTGAGTCACGGACTCAGGATCATGACAGAAAGTCGATTTAAGCGACTCTGAACATGGCATGGTTGTTGGTCCCAGATAGGCTGGTCTGAGTGTTCCAGAAACTACTGATTTGCTGGGAGTTTCCTGCAAAACCAATCAGATAGGAAGGCAACAAATAACAATTTGTTACAACCTGAGGTATGCAGAAGGACATCTCTGAACGCACAACATGTTCAACCTTGAAACAGATGGCCTACAGCAATAGAGGTCCACACCCAGTTCCCTGTAAAAACAGGACACTGGGGATATAAATTGCTTAGAGCCACCAAAATTGAACAATAGAAGATTGGAAAAATGTTCCCTTGTTTGATGATTCATTTCTTCTGCAACATTCAGACAGTAGGGTGATACTTGGCACAGACAATATGAAAGCATGCAACCATTCTGCCTTAGATCAACATTTCAGGTCGTCGTTGGTGTAACAGAGGTATCTTTTTGGCATACTATGTTTTGGCAAATGAGTATCTGTTAAATGTTACAGGCTACCCGTGTCTTTTTGCTCTATGACCACAGCGTATCAACCTTCTGATGGCTGCTTCCAGCAAGATAACAAGTCACGCCACAAACTGGTTTCTTGAACGCGACGAGTTCACTGCACTTAAATTGGCTTAACTTATCAGCACATTTCAATCCCGTAGAGCAGCTCTGGGATGTGGTGAAACGGGAGATTCATCACATAGATTTGTAGCTGAAAAATCTGCAACCATCAGACCAGTATGGACCAAAATCTTTGGGGAATGTTTCCAGCATAAGGGGATCCAACTCAGTACTGACGAGATATACGTAATAAAGTGTCTCATGAGTGTATGTACAAAAAGCAGATGACACTGGTGAATGTTTGTATAAAATATAATAAATGTTTAAATGTGTAGTAGAGGTTCTAGCTTTCCTCACACCAAGAGCCTTTCATAATTTGTGAGTTTACTAATGTGAGTTGTAATCAAAATGTTCAAGATATCCTCCTTTCAAATTCAGCAACATCAAGATTTTCAGTGTTTCTAAAGTTAGTCTGAGGAAAAACTGCTGTATTACATTTATGTGATTGTACATTTTAGAAGAATCAGTGATATTCTGAAGATTTTAATATTTAAACACAAATAAAACAAAAGAAAATCAAATAAAAAACGGCAATAATTGGTGCTACCTAACTAAAAACATATACAGTGTGTCTTGGATACATTTCAGTTTATGATAGCCGATAGCCAAACCTATTAACATCAACAGCCAAAATATTAGGAACATCTCTCGGTGTACTAACTGCTCAGCAGCGGCATAAAGCTGAACACTGCAAACACATTACTAACCAGTGTGATTTATTGCAAAATGTTTGCAAAATGCATGAAAGGCTATAAAACATTATTTATGGCAGTTTAAACAATTTACAGAACTAAAGAGTCTTTAGAAAGTACACCGACTCAGTTAAAAAGAAAAATTACGTTGTTCCCTCTGATGTCATCTGGCAGTTTTTGTGCATTTCATCACCTGACTTCCTTTTTCATGCTCTGCATCAAGCAGGCAGCATCGGCTTATTGCCATATATTAATCTAAGAGAGCTTCTGCAACAAACCTGATACTGTATTTTGCCCCAAAAAATCCTATTTGTTACACAGGTTTGAAAAGAACTCTTATTGTGTTTAATCTTCAATATTGATTGGGGACAGGTCCGGCAGCGCGGCAGATTTTCTCTGTGGCTTTTTTGCTGCAGAGTCCTCGTCTAAATCTTTATCTTCCTCCTCTTCACAGTCATCAAAGTCATCTTCATCATCATCATAATCATCATCACTGTCCAAACCATCCATGTCTGTCTTCCTTCGTCGACATCCTTTCTTTCTCTGTTCATCAACTTCTTGCTCGTTTTGCTCCAGATGTGAGTTCACCCTACACGGTGAAGAAAAAAGATATAGGAACTGTTGTTTAACTTTGCACCAACAATCCAAACCTTCCAGTATTGCGTTGTCACAAAGTCAGTAACTAAAAAAGCTACAAGAAATTACCTTTCCTTAATTAACACTTATTAGAAGCATTTAGATGCCAAAAGCAATGCTTAAAAATATGAGAAGCCCATGAAATGATGTTCAGGGTCAAGTATTGGATACAATGTATCTTATTCTCCACAAGGTGGCAGACTTACAGTAGTTATAGTATTATGTGTATGTGCTTGTCAGTGATAAAAGATGAAAATACATTTGCTTAAATCACTTCGATGTTATCCTGTCTCTTTAGGAATCTAACACATGTAGAAACTCCTGTAATTCATGTTCATTTTAAAAACTTGTTGCCAGTGCGAAAGAAAAAAAAATTAATTGGTGTCATCAAATTAGAATTTCTCAGGACATTGAAAATTGAAAGCTCTTCTTTGGATGTCAGCTGCCTTTTCTCTGACAAGATGATCCCACACAGCTTCCATACCGCTGAGGTCCAGGCTTGGGGACTAATACATGACTCATAGTGTTTCACTTTGTGTTTTTCTATTTAGATATGCTTTTACAGCACTGGCACCACTGGCTGCTGAAATGTAGCTCTAAATCATGACAGAGCCTCCACTGTATTTTACAGATGGCTGTCTACACTCACTGTTGTACTTCTCTCTTGAATTCCTCTGTACATACTGACGATGATTTGAACCAAAAACTTTGGTTTCATCACTCCATCAGACCCTTTGCCACTGATTTTCAGTCCAGTGTTTGTGTAATGTGGCGTACCTCAGCCTTTCCTTATTCCTTAAGAATGGCCTTTTGACAGCCACCCTTCCACTGAGAGCATTTGTAATGACGCTTCAGTGAACACAACAGATGCATCTCACAGGTCCTGTGTCAGATCTTTGCTGAATTTTTTTTCCATTTCTTAAGAACATCATTTTTAGATACTGTTCATCTGCAGTAGATATTTTTTTTTGTTTTTAGGCCTGGCACTTCTTCTTTTGTTTAATTTCGTCAAATTTCTTAAAGACATACTGCACACCATATGCAAGATTTTTTTTGGTTTTTTTCTTTTGGCTGTCAGTTTTCTCTTTGGCACTTTCAAAGCTTCAGCTAAAGAAATGGGAACAAAACGCCTAAACATACAATTTGTTGTTTGTTGAATATCTGTTAAATGGAGATGTAACACTGGTTTATTCCTTTGAGTTAGCAGTGGGTTTTTT